TTGCATCCCTGATGCAAAAACGAGAAGTTTCTCAGTAGCATTTGATGTGCTATTGGAACTTTCGATGAGTATATCACTAAATCCCTTATGGGTAGTAGTGCACTGTAATTTTATATCAGCGTCGGAGCCAGTCCGTCGAAGACATGTACCTTCTCGTGGTCAGTTTGATTTCCTTCTATGAAAAGCTGAAGAAAAAAAAACTAACCAAAGTATCCAACTCTGACTTCAAGGCTGCCGGTCCCTAGATCCGTTTGAATATTCTCTATAAATATTCCCGGTACCCCCGGAAGAGCTGCAATTGCCGCAAGCACTGGGAAATCTGATGTTAGTATAGATCGTTACGTTGTTGGGATTTAAGCCGCTTACTATAAAACAACAAAGCAGGAAGTGCCAGGAAACCCACTGCCCGTCTGTATTGCGGTAGACCCCCTATTTAAATTTAGTCAATAAGACTTCAAACTCATAGACAGTACTTACGAATGAGAGACATCTTACTCTCGTAGACTATTGGAGCAAACAATCGTCAAAATTCAGTTCATTAAGTTAGTTCACAGATCCAGCTGACTGAAGAACATTCGTGATGGAGTTGCAAAAAAGAAGGCTGCGAACAGACAATTCAAAGATGAAACGGCGATAGACGCTCTATATGTTGTGCGTGAATAACATGCATGATCCCTCAGCACTGTATTTGTGACGTTTCGTGAGGGGACAGTATCTTGGATAAGAAGGGGAAACAGAAGGACATGGCCAAGTATTACAACCCCAGACATCAGACTATTCACTTCATGATTGGGATTAATTTAATATCTTCCAGCTTGAGATGTCAAAGGATTTGGCGAACAGGCTTCTGCTCTTTTTGGGACCAAAAAATCATCAATTCGAGTAGCAATAAGCTGAAACTTGAGGCACAGACTCCACTTGGTCTCATCTCATAAGGCTGGGTATGGCAATCTCTCTGCTATATTTAGCAACCAAAGACTCGTAAGTTCATGCAATGAGGTCTAGAATCTGATTCACGAAAAGTTACTTTCGAAGCATTTTGAAAGATCCGATTTTCGTTTGTTTCTTATTCATTGTTTCTATTCAAGAGAAACGATATGCATTTAACCCGAAACATGTATCTCTTGTACCCGATAAGCTCAGCAATGTCATGACAATAACTTAAACTTTACTTGATAGAGTTCTGTGTTATGTGGGCTTATAGATATTGATTTCAATAGATGGAGATGATAAGGGATTCAGATGGAAAAGTTCTCGGAAAAGGGAGCACCAGGGGATAGACGTATGTATTAATTACATAATCGACTAGCGCTTCTTCTAACGTAATTTATCAGCATGTGGGCTATATCAGTATATAAACCACTTCGAAAATATACCAAAATCGAGGTTTTTTTAATATTTATATTTTAATAATTAGTTATTATTTTTAAAAGAAAAAATCATGAAAAATTATAATAAAAATAAAATATTTATAATATTTAGATTTTTTTTTTAATAATTTATTTTAATTCAAAATTGTTACATTTTGTATTACAAAATCTCTTCTTCTTTGATAACTTTAATACAAATTGGAATTTTGAAAAAGAAATTAGATTTTTGAAATATTTGAAAAAATCAGGTTTTATATAATAGATTTTTAAAGAATTCTATTGGCTAATAAATAAAGTGTACAGTTATACACAAACGAATTTTGTATAGAAAATGAAGTGGCCCATATACTGATATGGCCCATATGCTGATAAACTACGTTACTTGGTTGGAATACAATCAAAGTCACGGCCATAAACAGATTCTTGATTAGGTGCATGCTTGTAAATTTCAAGAAGACGGAAGCTATCACGCAATGTCTCTCCCTCAATTTCTGTTCCTCGTCATAAAATTATTCCGATCTGTTCAGCTGAACATAGAGTGAGTGAGATTAAAAGCCAGCCTTGGTCTACCTAGGTCGCCTCAATATTAAGTTTCTGCCCAAATGTTGATGGAGCACTCGTGATTTGAAAACAATGAAAAGCAAGAATTCGCTCAAAAATCAACAGGGAACATTTGACCTAACCAAGACGAAATAACCGGAACAATGCCCATTTCACATGTCCAATGACCAGCCCATTGGGGCAATATATCCTCTTATATTTACATCTTCTCACCCTGGATCGTAGCAACAACCTTCCTAGTATGTTTGCTAGATCTGAACTCCAGATACCATATTCCTTGCCAGGTACCCGTATTCAACTTTCCATTCGTGATAGGAATTGTGACACTTGCTCCAACCAACGCCGATTTAATGTGTGCCTACAATGATTAGCTCCTGTCTTATACAACTTTCCAAGAACTCCCCTATTTCTCCATCGAAGAACAAAGTAACAAACAAAAGGAGTACAAACCGGCATGTCGTCCAATCCTTCTGCACTATGTCTATACAACTCTCCCTTCCTATCTTCTGGCGCAATCCTATCCAACGCATCACTCATATCAGCCCTAACATCCTCATCCCAATTCTCATTCAGACTGATTGCGCAACTTGTGTGTTGAATGAACAAATTCAGAAGCCCAACTTTATAGTTCTTGATTTCGGGAATCGAGGAGACGATGTGGTCGGTGACGAGATATGAGCCGCGGGATTTAGAGGGGAGAGATATGGTCTTTTGTGTCCAAGACATGATGACTGGCTTGGTATAACGAGCGGGCGAGAGAGCAGAACTGTATGTGCTTGGGAGGAGTAGTTTAAGAGGGAGTGTCCAGAGAGCGTGGAAGAGGGGTGGGAAGAGGGCGACGAGGAAGATTAGTACGAAGAGGATATAAAGAAATGGGAAGGATGACGTTGATTGTATGTTTGGACGTGGGGTTTCGTCTTTGTCTGGTTGCGCAGATGAAGAGGAATTTGAAGATGACATTCCAGAGACTTTGGATGTAATTGAGTTGCTTAGAATTGTAGTGGGGTTTATGGACGTCATGGTTTGGAAGCTTCCCGAGTGTGTTGACAGGGATTAGATATATGTATTTGACATGGACCTACCAGTACTCGAGTAGTAGATAGATAGATAGATAGCACTTGTGCGTAACATCATTCACGTTACGATGCAAGATAGCTACAATGAATAATATGATATGAAGTGACAATCGTGAGAGAATATTTTGGATATCTTTAACAAATCGAAGTTCTCATGTCTACCTGGTCAATTCATTAGCTATTCCAAAGCTATTGTATTTTGACCTTTGAACGCCATTGCCGTGCCTTCCATTGCTTTGAAAACACTGTCATTATCCTGTAATTATTGAACGCCATTTTCTTCCTTGACATCAGCTTCGCCCATTGTTTCGTCGTCGCCCCCAGCCAAAACGATCGTCTTTGGCACATATCCTTCTTCTGGTCCTCCACCAGGAGTAACAGCTACCACATCACCCTTCTCATCAACAAACTCGAAGTTATATCTGGATAATAGATGTGGAATTGCTGAGAGTTGAGGACCATATCTTGCTGTGTTATCGTAGAGCTCGAAAAGTGGTACTGCGAGAAGTTTCATATTCTTGGGAACACTTAGTACTTCTGTATACGTATCAGTAATGCCGCATTTCTGGTTCAAGGGATTATTAACAAGATAGAAAATGCATACTCTGTCTAGGAAGTTGAATATAATATAGTTTCTTGCACTCCTTAGGTCTTGTAACATGCGCCGGGATAAACGGGTACATGAAGGTTTCGAAGTTCGGCCTCCACCACTGCGCCAACGTGTCTCCAATTTCCCACTCCTCATTAACACCCTCTCCACTAAATTGGGTGCCTACAGGTGCCAATCGCTCGTTCAATCTCTGTTTGAAACCTTCTACTTCATCGTCTTCGGGCTTTAGATAATCTCCAGGGAGTTTGAAGAAGGCATTTGCGATTTGAAGCATGAGAATGTGAGGATGATTATGTTCATGACAGACGAGAATTCCTTCGCAGGTACGTCGCATACCGTGTTCGACATAGTGTTCTTCTAAACGTTTGAGACGCGCGAGGACGGAGGGGTCTTCTTCAGGTTGGGTTTCTTTAGTGCCGAAAGTGTAATTTGAAAGGGGAAAAAGACGAATTGTTTTAGGTTGATTGGCATTGAAGGATTTTGGGAGAATAGGAGGATATGATGTCTGCAGGGCGGGGGTTGTTATGGTAGACATCTTGTAGATACTTCGAATAATAGTAGGAGTTTTGTTCGATTTGGAAGCTCTAGATTGTCGCAAGTAACAGCAGAAGAAGCTCGATCGGTGAGTGCGGCCGCTCTCATCCAATATTTTCTCGAAGACAAATCCTCGCCTAGCCTAACAATTTGTATAGCATAATAGGTAGTAGGTACTCCTTTTATCATTTTGGAAGATGCTACCTAGGTTATTACACTTTTCCCATTCTATCTTCATTTTCTTATTCATCTGGTAGAAAGGACATCATGGCTCAAGCAATGGCTCTGTTCTCCTCTTGGAAACAATCCTGCAACTGATATAGATAATTTGCAGGCAATTTTAATAAACGATATCTCCTATCAATCTTTCAGTTTCACGTGCCTATTGTTATGGTCTTATGGTAACTTCTACTTGGTGCAACGAGTTAGATCATACTAATTATGCATCATTCTCCACGTTATACTATTTCATGATGTCCTCGAAAACTTGTTTATGGATGCCTTCAAGCATTCAAAGCAGCAAGTGCCAACATGCTATGATCTTCACTATCTATAGATCAGCGATATAGAAGATGAAGCTGCCAGATATCTTTTGAGGTTGCTAGTCTAATGGGATAACACAATAACACATACTTGACTTGTGACTCGTAATAGATCGCTGGTATGCTTTGAGGTCAATTGGAGTGAAATGTCATTGTAGAAGTAGGCAGATAATCTTGCTTAAAATTCTCATTGCGCGGTATTTACACTAATTGTCAACGATAGACTCCCGCATCTATGAACAGCTCATCGTTGGACAATCTTCCATCGGTAATATGTTGTGGTTCATAACAGTTTGGCAGCATGGCCTCATGCTTCAAGAGGGTATGCAGTTTCTGGAAGAGATTCAAGGTGTGCTCGGTGATGTTCATTGGCCTGTAAGATAAATGAGCATGAAGCCAAAAAGATGCTATGGTTTACGACGGAGAGAAATCTGGCTTGAGGTCTCAGTCCGGGGTATGACTTACAAACGGCAATCCGCAGTATGTGCAGTTGCAAATTTCGGGCTTATCAGTGTTGATGAAGATTCTTGGGTGTCCTAATGGTCCTCCACCTCCATCGCATGCCACAATACGATCGTGTGTCCATCGCACTGGTTGTTGATGAATCAAGCTAATTGCTGATTGTGGTGCTGGCTGGAGAAAAATTAACATGCCGCCCAAATACGGGTTGGAATGATTTCCAAGAACTATAGCGCAACACGTAAAGCGCGGGGTCTGACATACCTGAGCTTCCATAATGGTCTGCTCAAACCTAGGGCCAGACATTGCCTTCTCCCTAGGATTCTGACTTCGCGACCATTTGCCCTCTCTATTTGGTGCCTGCATAACCCTAAACTTTTCCGCGGTCTCTACGCTCTCCTGCAATGGCTTATTCTGGACGTGACTTTCTATGGGCAGCTCGTTGGATTTCGAGACATTGGGCACTTTCTTCGGAGAGTTTGGATCATTAATTTCTTGCTGATCATTTGCGGAAAATGCGTAGGCTCGTCTGGCTGAGATCTGAACTCTACGAGAAATTTGCCATACGGCTCTTGATCTGGCGGTGGACAACATTCTGCTGGTGTTTCAATCAATTGCTACGGAGGGACCGAAGAAGGACTTAAGGTCGTTGTCGTCCAATTCCAGGTCGCTTACGTAATACCCTTAAAGCACAGAAGCTTAATCTTTAATCGGGGAAAAGTCCGCCTTGCAGCCGCGTAAATACTTTTGCTTTTGACTTTCTTTCATCACCTCCGTGTTACTTATACAGACACTTTACAGATCGTGGCAGGTCTATTGATCTACAACTAACATTCAACAGCATAATTTCATCTCGCCAATTCTTCTACATCATCCTCTCAATTATTATTCTTCTAATTTCTTCCATACTGTGAATCAACAACAACTACAACATGTCGGCAAGTGCAGGGACCCCAACAAGTGCGCCAAAAGCTATGTCTTCCAGGCTTTTGACGATGAAATTCATGCAGCGCGCTGCTGCTTCTTCACCTACAAACACTTCTCCTTCTTCAATAGATGAGCCATCACCGAAGCGACAAAAGACAGCACAAAACACTCCTACAAAGTTCAATGTCGACACTTTAGCCGATAATCGCGCGATTCAAGCCGCAATAGTGGAAGAAGAAGCCAAAAAGCAAGCCGCATTGGATCGAGCAGCCGTTGAAGCAGGAGATACACGATGGGTTCTAAGCTTTGAGGGAAGGAAACATCTCAATACTCCAACAAACACATTGCGTGTAGTTCAGACTGGTTTCGCAAATTTAGACCAACCTATGCCGATAAAAGCAGAACGTGTTGATGATGACGATAACAATTTTGGAGAAGAAAAACCATTCATGGTCGGTCGAAGGAGTTTTGGAAAATTTAATAAAGTTTTGGAGGTATGCCATGCATTTTAATGATCTGCGCATTTATCACATGCTAATGACTGGCCAATAGAAACAGCAAAATCCAGACATAGAATTCACATCATCAGAGGAGGACGAAGAGAGCGAGGAGGAGGAATCTGAAGATGAGGATAGTGAGGATGATCCAACAGGCGCAAAGGAATTGATAAAAGCCTCGAAACAGGAAGCAATAAAACGGCTCAAAGAGGAGCGTAAAGCCAAGAAGAAGGCAGCAAAGGCCGACTTGCTGGAGTTATCGAAAAAGAGAAAGAAGAAGCATGTCTCGCTGAATGGTTTGACATCTCTGTCTGGCTCAGGAGGGGGCTCATTTGGCTCAGGAGGTGGAATCAAATCCGATATAAAGTGTTATACATGCGGAGGAAATCATATGGCGAGGGATTGTTCAAATCCAAAGAGGAAACACCAAGGAGATGGGGGCTCACCTAGAAAATCTCAAAGAACAAGATAATGAGGAGCGGTGGCAATGATAACATGCGTCAGAAAACGTTGGAGATATTGGAGAGATCACAGTCATGAGCTGCTCTACGCCAACAAGTTTACTCAGAGGGTTGAACAGCCACGACGGTCTGTGATCATGGTGTTTTCGGATAAAACTTCCTCGTGGACTCCATCACTCGGGATTATACCAGCTGCAAAGGTCGAATCTACTTCACCAACATATTCTTGAAAAGCCTTGATTATCACAAGGTACAGATAAACGTCGCACAATAAAGGAAATCAAATCCATAGTACGAGTATAACAAACATGTGCCAGAATTTCGATTATACTTTTCTTTTCCTGTTTCATTCTATCAATGTTGACGTTCTTTTCGATAATCTCACTTTGCGGCTCTGGGGTGTCAACATCTCTCAATTGAGGTACTGAGGGAGCATGATTCATTTTTGCCTATCATGGATACTCAAACGCATACAGCGGAGTTCTTCAACCCCTCTTTCCGTCGCTTTTTCCTAATCGCATCATGTTGAGATTAGCGCTAAGAAGAAGCGAAGGAATCGTACCTCCCTTCTAGTTGTTGCCATCTCTTCAGTTAAAAGCCCTCGCACTTCAGATTTCCTTCTCTTCATCGTCATCTCATTTCATTACAAAAGGCGCAGTCAGGAAATCATGTCGAACTATCTCAGTTCTTCCGATCCAGTGTTTGTCTCTTCTAAGCAGTGCTTACGATTGTGATTGCTGATAGCAAGCAGAAACCCCCCAACAGTACCTCAACGCTCGGCAGCAATTGTTAGTCCAGACGGGCGTTGGGCACTTTATCATGAGACAATAGACTCTCCAGATATCCCTGAAACATCATATTATTTGTTAGAACTCGGGACTGGTATAACAACTAAGCTGCCAAAGTCAGCAGAGTCCGCACCTCCAGGCTCAACATTGACCAATTTATCTGGGCCGACGAAATTACCCTTTTTTGTCAAGCGCAGATGAACCAGATAACTTATTTTTTCACTCTCACAGGTCCACAATTTGCACTGTATGTAACATAACTGTGTCCAATACACCAATGATAAGACTAACTTGGCGCAAGGCATCTGGCCAACGCAGGCCATGTTGGTACATTGATGACTATCTTGAAGGCAGTACATGTCGCATATGGCAACATGCCTAAGACCCGGGAACTTTATGTGGCAATTGCAGTTTCTGGTATTGGCACTGGAACAACCTCAGCACGCCCGAGTGCTAGTGAAGTCGATGATCTAGGATATTCTTCAAGGCCAGGTGGTCAAATACTGCGGTGCCTTGTGTTCAAGCTTCGAAGGAAATTTCCGCACATCCGTGTTGAGGGCACTAGTAGTGATATTCTTGAGACAATTGAAGTTAGATATGTTCCCTTTCCAACCCGGGTGTCAATGGGACCAAGAAATTTCGATATATGTACAAAGGGACTAGCTCTTGTCGCCCAAACTGAAGGACAGTCTCAGGCTCAACATGGTGGCATATCTGATGTCTACTTTATTCCTTTTGATCAGTTACCGACACCGGCAAAGTTGAAGGTACTTAATCCTATAAGAATGAAAACTAATGGAATAACCGGCAGCGCCTCTGTACCAGTTCTCAGTCCTAGTGGCCCGTTCTGTCTCGCATTTCTGAAGCGCAATGATAACTCCACAGAAAGGGGTGAAACATTTATTTTCATAGTTAGTGTCGACAGAGTAGAGGACCGACAATACAATATACAGCGCATATCAGGTTCAGCCGAAGGGATTAAATTTGCACCCAATCCAGTAAATTTGCTTGGGCTGGCACTTCTCAATCCATAGTGTCGAGGAGGTTGATCTACTGGGTGGATAGCCGAATGTCCATTGTCGAGATTCTTATTCCCACACGAGATGTTTACAACCCACTTCCTTCCACATGGGTGGTCACTGATTTTGATCATGGTGGCTCAATCTTGGGCATTGATTGTTTAAACAAAAGTAGACTGCTGGACGGCGACCCCCGATTACTCATTAGCAGAGCTTCGGCTAACGGAAGTACCGATTCTTTAATATACAGCGCTGATACCAGGGACCGATCAATGGTTCAGTGCGCCTCCATTGGTGAAGTAACGACGGAGCAGAATCAGGACAATAGTAATGAGATTGGGGGTCATTTTGGGGATCTTACCGAAGATCGTATTATCGAGGATTGGATTACTGAGAATAGAGAAGAGGTTTCTCAAGAGAGCGACGATATTGAGGATGAAATTATTGAGGATGAAATTGTTGATAATAGAGGAGTTGGCGATGATAGTGATGGTATCGAGGATAGAATTATTGAGGATGGATTTATTGAAGATAGGGTTATCGAGGATATGATTGCCGAGCATAGAGCGGACGTCATTAATGAAGATAGAGAGGAGGCTATTAATACGAGTAAAGATATTACGGATAGGATTGGTGAGGATAGGGAAGAGGTTATCAATGAAAACAACGTTCCCGCGGATGGAATTATTGAAAATAGAGAGCAATCTGACCATGAGAGTGAGAATGAGAATGATCCTCTCGAACCTCCTTTTTCGGCTCTAGAGAACAGAGGAGGACAAGCAGATTCGCCCCTTCGTCGGCATTCCTCGCACATATTAATTATACAGTGGTTAGAGGCGAGACGCAGACGTGGACTTCCAGAACTGGAATTGTGATTGTTGGGATTCGTTGTTGTTGATTGTTATTTTTTAGATTGTGGGTGTTTGAATTATAGGGTTGTAGTTAAACAGTTAAATGAGGATTGAGTTGAATGTTGAGTTGAGTAGCTTTGTGATGGGGTTCTTTTTGGAAGTGAGGTGTTTGAGACTTTTAAGTTGATGGGTTTCTATCTAGGTATACATTTGAAAACATCAAGACATCAATATGATATATCAATTCTTCGGATTCTTTTGTGCTTTTACTCAAATTTGAACGGTATTGGTATTATATAAGTAAGCCTAAGAACTTATTACTAGTATACGTCTGACTGATTGATTGATTGATTTCCTTTACTCCTTTTTTTTTTTTTGACTATACTCCTTTCTCGCTTATCGGATCATCTGTTTTCTGTTTTGGATGTTGTGGTAGGTAGGTAGGAAGGTAGTATCTCATCTCCATAGCATATACTCGCTCATGTCCATTTGCGTACGATGCATCCATCTGTCCATCCGTCCATCCATTACCGACTATTCTCTCACATTCCATCTTGCGTTCATTCCCCTAGATGAATCCTCATACCCATTCATTCATTCATTCAAATACGAATGCCATATCATATCATATCATATAGCTATAACGCAGTCAAATACAAATGAAGAGACGATGCAATGCAATGCAGTACAATACAATACAAAGTGATACAAATCCTTCAAGTAAGATGTTACGTGTCCAACATAACTCCATTCAGCCCAATGCTTCGTTCACCAATCAAATCCCACTTTGACGGGGTCTTTTTCGAGAACTGCCGGGTGTACCGTGCGATGGATGCATCTTGTCGTTCTTTTCTCTCTTGAGTTTTTCGTCCAGCACACGTGCTATTGTTTGTTAGTATTTATTTATCTTGAAAAACACAGTGGTACAAGATTTCTGAATCCTTCAGCCACCTCTCTATCCACACCCAGAGCGTGGGAAAAAGAAAGCAGAAGAAAGGTAACAAAAAGCGAGAAGCTCCAAAAGAAACGAGCAAAAAAAACTTACTCAAAACATCGTAACCAAACTGCGGAAACTCCAAACACATCTCTCTAAACTCCGTCTCCGCCTCGCTCCTCAAAGTATGGCTTCTCGTCGCCCAGAAATTGGCCACCGGCGCCCTAATCGTCTGATCATCCTTCTGAGTATGCGCATACACATATCTCGCATATGCAATCTCTCCCTTCGCGGTGCTATTCACGCAATGAATCTTGCTACTCGCCAAACTCTTCAGACTCGGAAGCTGCAGCATTTCCGCCAGCGTATACACACGCGCGTGTTTGAGTAGTTGATCCCCCGTCTCATCGACATCCGGCATCGCAGGATCCGATTCCAGATCGCGCGACCCGGGGATCTTGCGCGGGAAATAATCATTCGTGTACAGGTATTCGAGAAAACAGCCGACGGCGTCGAGATCCTCGTCGACGAGATCGATGCGTCGTTCGCTGACGTCGTCGCTGAATTTCCCGCAGGCTTCGGCGAACCAGGGGGATTTGCAGAGGAGTGCTTCATGTGCGTGCAAGAGTGCTTGTTCGTCGCCTTGGCCGACTAATAATGCAATCATGGGACTCTTGAGATAATCGATATAGGTGACGCGCGCGGGAATATTCTCCATGGCTGTTTCTTGGAGATCGGGACCCGAGGCATCGTTATCGCCTTCATTGTCGCCTTCGTTGGAGATGTGGGTGTTGGTTTCGGTGCCGGCAGACGCGTCGATTTCGATTATGACGGCGCTGGGATTGGTGTCGCCCATTTCGATGTCGGTGGGATTGGAACCCAGTACATTGCTATCTGGTGCGAGGGGATAATCATCTGCGGAAGACATATTTGAATGTTGAGAGGCAGAATTGAGAAGTTGTGAGGTGGAGGTGGATAGATGGAGAGGTGGAGAGGTGGGAAGATCACGAAGGTGGTATCGAATTCCTGAAGCTGTGTAACTTTATTGACTCAATCCAGAAGTTACAATGCAATACGACACAACACAGTACAGAACTCAATTGAAAGAAAAATGGCTGAAAAGATTGATGAAAAGAAATCGATTATTTCAATTCATTAAATTAATGAATGTATAGGATGATAAGATATGATAAGGATACCCAGGTAGTGAAAGTTGAACGCGCTTTGATTGTTATCCAAGGAGACGTGTAGAGCTCCAACCCCTGATTGTGTACCTTAGCTGAGAGCTATCCATTCTAGCCTTGCGATTAAGGCATCAAACTCTATTGAAGCTTTGGATTGGTCAACTAACAGTAATTACTCTCTACATTGTAAGATTACTATGATCTCAACTCCAAGTACGAAATTCCTTCAATATCATTCATCTGTACCCCTGCCTACCCGAGTATCCAAAGAGATATTTATCCCAGAGAAAATCCTTGATGGCTTATGAATATGAACGACATGAAACTCTTGAAGTACTTGTCTAAATATCACAATCACATCATACAACTATACAGACAAAAGGTAGTCAATAACTCTTCATTCAAGCTACAAATCAGTCTCCAACTTTCCATTTCCAATACGCCGTTTATTTAGAGGCCTCAAGCCATGCTGGTATCCATCCAAAATACTCAATATGGTGAGTATAAAAAACCAGACAAAATATATGTGACAGTAACATATACATGAATATGCTCGCTCAGAAGAGTTCCTTTCTTCCCATCCCAGCCCATCCGAAAAATGCTAGAAAAACGCCCATCCATCTCTTTCTTTATTTTCTCCATCGTCGCTGATGACTCCATTACAGAAGGTAAAAGAATGTCTCTCTTTTCTTCCAAATCCATTGGACTTAAGAACGACTGACTCTCCTCCTAAATCTATCTCCCGTCGTTGGAATAGGCTTTTCCAATCTCAAGCACCAGAACAATAAATCTTCCACAGGTAACAAGATGAGGAATATCCTATTACACAGATATGCCGCGATTGCCACGAAGAACGCCACAAATGCATCGAGATAATAATGATTTGCCGTCGCCACAATTGTGATCAGGATATAAAGTGGATAAGCGATTCCCAGGAAAACATAAAACAGCGCCCAGAATTTATTCTTGCGTTTTTCGCCTGTTTCGAGATTTCGACGGAAGAGTCCAGAATGATAGATTAAGGTCACGCCGATGCAGAATGAATATCCAAAATGCATGGATGGCATGGCAGCGAGCGAGTTGACGTAATTTCCTTGCATCCAGACAGATTGTGCGTTATTGCGACCGACGCTGTCGAGGAATCCATACTCGGGGGGAAGAAGACGTGGTGGCATACAGGGGTAGAGGATAAAGATGCAGAAGGCGAAAAGATTGGTCAGAGTCATGGTTCGACGGACTGTTGCGAAAGTTGTATGGGATGGTGCCACATAGTACCAGAACGCGATGAATCTATTAGAAGAAAGTATTAGACAAAGAGAAATTCTCCAAATCTACTAGACATCTTTGTCTAATCATGACTTTGAAAACTCACCCAACAGTACCAGGAATATGAATCAAGGCATAAGAACGATTTAGAACGGTCAAAAGCGTCCCATGACCATTCAAAAACCACTTCTGTACACTCTGTTCCCTCACCGGCCACAAAAAGCTCATCCATGAGAACTCCTCGAACTCCAAAATCGCCAACCCATGATCCTGAGCCACATCCCAGATGCCCATTTTGGAAAACATAGCTTGCGAGAGGATTTTCGTACATCGATAGAACGCATATGTAACAATCCAATAGAACATCTCGATCAGAAATGGAAATTTCTGTAATATTCGACTGTGGTAGTAATCTCGATATCTCGAGGTATTCGGCGTTAGGAGATTCGTGCCACAGCACCTTCTCTTCTTGGGGGGATACTTCGACGTCGACATCGAATCGACGTCGGAATCTCGTCCGCTGCCAATCATGTAGTCCCGAGCTAACAGATCATCGGATGAGCGTGCGGAATCGGGTTCCTCGCTCAATAATCCGTAGGTGTTTCGCCTTCGATCGAATATCTTATACCCATGTCTTCTCGTCAGTACCATAGATCCAAACAAGATACTAGCAACCATCTGTGAAAGAATCGTTAGTTAATGAACTTCCTTCATGTCTTCTTGACCAAAAGTCCAGAAGGAAAACTAACAATTGGTTCCGCCCATCCCGGCAATCTGAATTGCGGTTTACTATTCCATTGCGGTTCGCCATCTGGAAGGGGTGTAGTCGCCATATTTGGATTGTATAAATGTCGTCCGCCCAATCCGACTCAAACGCCAGACGTCAAAACACGATGGAAACCCTCAATTGAAGGTTTTTTTTTTTAATTTTCCCCCTTTAAAGAGAGTATTTCGGACAGATATATAAACAAAGTATTGATACAAGATATCTATAGAAAGCCCCGTATCCAAATCTTTTCCTTTGTATTGAAATAATTTGCTCGTTATGTTTACCGCAGGGATGACGTATGCTTTTGGTGTAGGAGATAAAGAGGAAAGAAATCCCTTGACAACAATGCGGGTTGAAAACCTTTGAAGAAAACAGATTAAATGGATTGATATATGGGTATTATAATTGTCGAGTTTTAGGTCAAGTTATTGTAACTGTACAAATCAATGAGAGAAATCGAAATCGGCCGCATAAGTAGGAAATTGAATGTGTTCGTTCGTTGTGTGGATTTAAATATCCTGGAAGTTGATATTCAGGGGTGATGCGGATCTGTTAGTATGGAGAAGTAAGAATGAAAGCAAGGGCTATTGTCTCTTTTCTTCTACTACTCTCCAAAATTTGACTTGAGAAGTAGAACGAAAAGTCTCGAAAAGTCGAGGTTCAGAAAGGAAGAAAGAGAATCAAGCAACCGAGGGAAACAAAGTGATATGGAGCTTTATTTATTCAAGAGCTGATTGACAGGTGAAAAAAGTTGTAAATAGGGCTACCTAGGTATGTATGAATTTGATACCAAGTAGCGGCTAACTAGCTCGACTAGGTCCTCACGACTACCTCTTAATATACAGCAAACAATAAGCATCAAGACCATGCATCGCTAGTCATGAAATCTAGAGCATATCCCCTTCTTCTCTTCTCTTCTCCTCTCTCCTAAATGAGTATATTATCTAGTCCCATACTTCTTCCCCTTCCCATTCTTACTCGCCGACGCAAAATGAGATCTCCCGACGATCTAGCAAACTACCTGCTCTCTGCTCAGAACCTGACCTGATCACTCGAATACCTGCAGAACCACGGTACACATTTCCGCGTATTCATCAACCCGCCGCTACCACAAACCCGTATTTACCAAATAGAGTAATTCTTCACATGCCAAGTATCTAATCACAGGTTATTTTTGCTTGGAGTCTGGATCAATTTTGCTCCAAATAGCTGGGGCCAAGACAAAGCCAATTCATTCACATGTTCAGAAAGTTACCAAGAGGAGGTGGTGTTTAGGTAATGGGGTGCGGTGTAGGTAGATACTCCGTCTTTTGTGAGGAAGAGACAGTTATGGGGTTTTCTGAGGAAAAAGAAAATAAGGATCAATTAAGATTAGACGAATGTTAATAGCTTACGACGACTCTATGGGATTCGAGATAGCTTATAATATTGTCCATACTTTAGATCATAGCACAAATAGATAGCTAAATAGAAAAATATAACCTCGCACTCAGATTCAAACATAAGTATATATAAATCCTAGACGATTCTTTTTTGGACATGGCATTCATACATCATATTCTTGAAGAACATCCCTTTTCCATATATTTTACTCAATCACCCATTTATCCATTTACCCCTTCATCGATCGTTAAATCCCCGGCTCTTTTCTTCCCCATTCTTTCATGAATTTATCTCGACCCACCAACTAATAATAACCTCCTACATCACAATCGTGCATTGTGGACCACTCAAGCTTCCCCTAAACATTATCTCTACTCTAGTTTCGCAAAGTAGAATTATTCAAACTTAACTCGATATACTTTCTCCACAAAGCTCTTCACACCTTCTCCAACTCTATTCACAAATTCACAACCTAAAGAGAGAAGCACACGACACTTTCCAAGCTTAATACAAACATTTGACTCGTGCTGCTTTGCTTCATTTTTGCCCATGTGTACCAGCCAAAACTAGCCAAGAATATCAAACTGCATATTATGAGGTGATGATCAGCAAGCCACACTGCCACTGCCAAGACAAGTTTCTGATAGAAGCTTAGTAGACGGTTGAAGGAATTGTTTGCTCAAGAGGAGAGAAAGAATAATATTATCTTGAAATTGACTGATTCTACTTGATCCTTGGACTCTTGCGAGTGGACGGTTCACACTACATTCTTACTCTCGCGTGTCGTATTGTATCGTGTGTTTTGTATTTTCCTACGTCGTGTTATGTAGATGTGGAAATTGTAGCCAGAAGAAGTATGCAGTTCGTATTCATTTGTAATCTCGCATTCGCATACATATATACATACGCTCAACCAGAGTCTCACAACAGATACCAATATACCAAGGCTTCCTTCTAGGTAGATGTCACTCTACCTAGATATTTCCCGCACACTTTTGTTTCGCTTTTGACAAGTTGGCAGGCATGAGTTTGATTCATTTCTTTTTCGCGACTGTTAGGTTATCTGTTGGTTCTGTTTCCATTTCTTCTGGACTGGCAAAGAGTGAAAAAAAACGGGAATACACAACATAAACATAAACCCGATGTTGTATTCCTAACAAGCATCCATACCTACTTACCTACAAGGTCGCACCCAAAACATGCGGGAAGACGTCACGGAAGGATGCACAAAAGAAAGCCGGTGTAAGGGTAGGAAGAAGTAAGCCGGATAAATCGTTCCGATATTCTTTCGGTGCTGAGATGAGTGTGTTTCGGTCGCTGTTTGAGATTTGATTGAGCCGCAATGTATACCTGGGTAAGCTAGATGTGTAGAGTAAGCTTGAATGGATTTAGTTGGTTAAACGATTGGACATGTGTGCATAGAAGTTGGGGTCATGTGAATTTGGGTGATGGGTTTTTATATTTTGAATCCACGACGACGCACAAATATTTCAAGAGTTAGGTCGTTTCTGGTATAGATATATCTAATCTGGGTTTCGGCGAAAGTTCCTTGCCCCTTCAATGAGAAATTCTTTGGAAAGGATTTGTCGGCGTCTATTCATTCAAGGAGGAACTCAACACTCATTTCCAAGATAACAATCCACCCAACCTGCTACACCCATTCAATTTGATTCGCCTAGATCCCCCTAGTTCTTCAAACATACACACATCAAAACAGAAATCTCATCTCTGCCCACGACCTCGATATTTGTTTCTGCTCCTTCATTAAGAGAATATGTTGTAAGAAATCACAGTTTTTTCACTCTTTCCATAAGCTTGGAGCGGGTCGGACTAGGCTTATTGATACTGTTTTGTGAGATTGATTTGGTATGTGGTTTTTTTTTGCAACGAGATGTTGTGGACTTGAGGTGGATGAATGGGAATGGATTGGGTATAGTTCTTGTCAAATAATGAGTGTATGATTCGCAGCACGTTCATCGCCTATTGAATGGCAGTGAGAAAAGTGATCGAGAGGGTGAATGGGTTTAAAACAAGGTGTTGATTAGAGGAGCAAAGGAGTCAAAATTCTCTACCTTGAAATGTCCCTTGATAATTGCCTCACAGCTTATAGTAGTCTAAATGGCTCAAGTATCTCGATAAGCTCTTTCTCCTACCCTATCCCAAACCAATTATTCAACATCCAAACACAATTTCTGTAATCAAGACCTCACGATCTGAAGCTTCTTCACCCTCCCACCAAATCCATCAACATGTCCCAATCCTTCCCCGCCAAAACAACCGTCGCCACATTCAGCACCTTCCCTCTCCCATGACACCATCCCACAACGACCATCCTCCCCTCCGCCAACTCCCCAGCAAACCTTTCTCTAAACCCCTCCAACCCTATATTGAAAAACAGCGGAAACAAAATCGCCGCATCCCTAAACCCTCTCTCTCTATTAAATTATCCCTTCCAAAACTCCAATACCTGCGAACCCGTAGCCCGTACATTCAAATCAATAACCACATGGTTTCCTTTCGCACCCATCATAATATCCGCACCCAACAGACCACAACAAGCAAGCGTAAGCATATAATCTCCTATTTTAATCGTAATAGCTCTATACTTTTCAATGAGACGTTCCTGTCCTGCATAGTGAATATGGCTCCCACCTCAATTTCCCTGTGCATCAACAAATTGATCGCACATAGATCTGACCATCACCTCCCCCTCTCTAGACAAGAATAACGCAATTGCCACCGCGGATTCAGACAACATTTCTTGCACAGTAAGACTGCTAGGATGTAAATGTTCATTATTCAGACTTAGCTGTTTGAGCATAGTATCTACACCCATCTCCAACACCGATAGTGCAGTACTCCTCTCCTCCTCATTTCTGACGAGAAACACACCCTGTCCCGAACACGCTTGCGGTAATTTCACCACAAGGGGCATAGATTGGTATTTGATGGCCTCAAGCATGCGATTTACCTCCTCGACTCGCGTTTGTGGATCCCGCACTTGCATGGGATTTAATCGCGTTTCAACGACTATCGATCCCAGAGTCGGCAAGCCAGAGACCACCAGATCGCGCTTTGAAAGCACTCGATAGCGGTTTTCAAAAGAGATTGTGGAGGGAAAGTGCTCGAGACAATCCATTGGGTTGGCTACTGCGAGGAAGACATCGGGAGGAAGGATGATATCTTCTACACTGCGCACATAACTAACGATAGGTCTCTGGACAGAAGATATCTTGATTGATTGAAGACTTGGTTCTCACAACATGATGGATTGTCCATGGATTTTATGTGTTATTTTAAGATAACTTATGCATGTTTGTCTCAATCCAGAAGTACATATATCGCAATGCTAGTTGTCCTTGCAACACAATGCCAGCCGAACCCAAGCCGATAGGGCCTACACCCTCTGCACCATTGGATATTGAAACGTATACCGATCAAAAATTGATCCAAATCGAGCAACTTGCTTAAGACGAATTGAGGTCAGATACTTCAATTTCCTTATTCAGAATACACGAGCAGGGATGGGTACCCGCTCCATACCCGTGATATTGATCCTACTCCATTGACACATAGCCGGATAGTAATCCGATAAATTCTCCGGTTATTGGGGTACCTGGATATATGTTACGTGATCGTTCTGCAACTGTTGTCTAAAAATGAAGGTGTCCCCAACTATAAAAACAGTTCCAAAATCTCCATCGACATTCTGCAGGTCATTTATCCTGTCTTATAGTATAGAGAACAACATCTATCCATCAAAGTACTCACGTGTACCCCAGATAAGCCGACCCGATGCCCAATCTTGCACATGGGGTGATGCGGAAAAAGATTAGATGGATGAAGCAGACTTTGCTTTTGTGCCATTTGGTACAAGATTGAGGTTTGTGGAGTATAGAAAATATAGGATGCGAATCATGAGTCAGTATCAAGCACTTTGAACAAGAGCCAAAAGATGATATAAACAGGATATCAGAAACTGCATTCATTCCCATGTATCCAGCACGCAATGCAACACAATACTCTAGAAATGAATCCTTCTCTCATCTATAAGTACACTAATTTCATCGCTCCACAAAACGCTATAATACAAACCATTCCTCATTGTCCATTGACATTCCGTAAGTAATTTCCGTTGACAAACCAGATCCCAATCGCCAGACACCATGCCACAACCACCATCCGCAGTAGTTATAGTAGCCCATACCCCAAATCTTTAACTTCAATATAAAACACAAGAAAAGAATGTGCATGCCAAATCTCACAACCGTCCCTAGTTCCCATCGTCGTCTATCATATCATGAACCTTTTCTTTCTATCCTTCCCTCAAATATATTACAAAGTGAATCTATCTCTCCTAGTTCGTTCACTCTTCCTCCCATACACTCTCAATAGACCACCTGTCTTAGATGATTTCTTTACACCATTAATCTTAACGGATGCCGCGGGAGTTACACTAGCTTCTTTCGTTACTTCTCTACTCCCAGTGCTCCCGCGTCCACTCTTCCTCCTGATGTCTTTTTCTTCCGAGGATTTGATAAAACGATGAACAGTACGATGATCTAGAACTCTTTCCTCCTCATCATGTTTGCCCTCTTTATCCGTTTTTGGCCACATGTATCCATACAGCTTACTATGGCGTTCGCATCTTGGACAAGATGATCTCGTAAAATATGCATCTTTTTGAACAAAAGGTTCTTCACAGATCTTGCAGTTGATCCATGCTGATGCTGGCTCAGCGAGAAGTGCATGAGTCAATACGTAGTCACCAGGAACTCGTACATTTGGCGCATGATCCTTATCATTAGTTGATGGTAAAACTACTCCTTTGCGGCGTCGTCGAATTTTAGGCTGCGGAAGTTTCTTCGAGATCGTCATTGTTGAGTCGTCTATTTCCATGTCGGATCCAAGATCAGAAAGTGCGGACGAATCTGCATCGTCTTGCAAAGCTGGATGTGACTTGCTAGTATTTGGACTGACGAGAACAGCATCTGATGGTGCCTTCTTCGCATTCTGAATCTCTAATGGCGTGATGGCTTTTGTTTCGCCTGCCCTTTCTCGCTTTTCCTTCTCCCACAACGGTCCTCTTCTTCGACCACCATGATTTCCCCTTTTCACATAACCCTGTCGCTTAGGTTTAGAATCGACAGAAACAGGTTTCTCATTTAGCACCACGATCGTCTCTTCTTCATCGACCGATGTTGCATCTGTTTCTCCTGTTCCCTCCCCTGAAGGAGAGGATGTGAAACTTGCTCTCCTGGATTCTGAAGCAGAACTTGGTAAGGTGACATGGCTATTGTTTCCATAAAATGATGTAGGTGTGAACTCTTCAACTTTTACGGAAAACTGGCTCTTCAATCGCTTTGTCGTGTCGGATGGCGAAACTGTTGGTTCCTCAGAGCCTCTCTTTCGCTTAAGTGTGCTTGATCTCAATGGCCGAGACCTTCCGGGATCTATTATTGGTGAAGGCATACCTTGAGTTACCGGATGGTTCCATTCGACCAGAAGGGTTTGTTGTAGTATGTCTGATTCCGGAGAGCTAGGCATTTCGCTTCCGTTCACTCCATGTAAAACCCCTAATGGAGAACGCTCAATCTTTTGAGATGGTCGTCTTCTTTTCGGAGTAGTTGGTTGACAATCTTCCTCGCTAGATGTTCTTCTTCGCTTCGACGATCCTGTTGGTGATGGTAGGTTGCCTTCATCAACTTGATCTACTTTAGAGACAGGCTGATTTGAGGCTAAAGGTGGAGAGCCCAGAGCAGGAGGTCGTCCATTCTGAGCCGACGAAGCTGATCTACCTGACTTTGGTGGCATTTTTCGTACTTGTGGTCGTAAATTGACATCAGGTGTCATCGATTCGGAACGCGATTCGGATACCGTAGAAGTGAGTCGTCGTCTACGCCGGAGACTGTAACCTGGTACCTCTGGGGGTGATGGTTCCTTTTCAATTGATAATTTGGGAATAGACTCATTATTATCATCGCCTTGGGCCCATCCATTTTCACGGTTGTCCTCACAAGTCTTACATAGACATTCGCAATTATCCTCGCCGAAATAACTCTCGCCGTAAGTGACCGTAATCTCCTCCCCGATCTCAATATCCCTGACTGCAATAATTTCCATTCCGGCAGTTCCACTTGTCATCAAACGAGCATTTGCGCCACAATCGTGATTTGCGAATCGGGCTGGTCCGAGAAATAATGATGCAGATTTGTTGCGACTTGACATAACAATGCTAAAGTCTCTGCGCAGGAGATTAATATGTTCTTCCTCCTCAGGTGTCATAACAACTTGAATTCCGGAAAGATATTTGACTACCTCTCCTTTCCTAATTTCCCTCCGCGCAACAACTGCCGCTTCATGTGTAACAACGGTATAGCGATTTGTGCTCGAAATTTCGAATGGACAATCTGGTAGATAAATGTTGATGTACTTTTTGAGATGACGCCTAAAGTCCTCCTTTTCTTTTTCCGAATTGAGACTTTGGTGAAATTTCTTGAGACCTGGAAGAGCTAAGAGTTCTGTTTCTGCTTTTGCAGTGTTCTTCTCAATGATGACTGAATTTTGGAGAATTTTGGTCACATCTTCCTCTCTAATTCCACGAGATGAATGGTATGCGATGCGATTTTTGCGAATATTAGTCCAATAGTAAACCTGCCGGCTGATATTAGGAGAAGTTATAATTGAGACTATCATACAAAAAGGCTTACCTGGTCAACAAGCGCATCTGTCAATATATCATCGTATGACCATAATTGAGCCAGAGTAAGTCGTTCCTTCTTCGTTGCATTTGATTTTGGAGGCATTGTGACGGTTCAAGTGGTATGTAAGTAAGTATGCGATTGTACAGAAGTTAGGTTACAAACAAAGCCAGTCGTGATGCCGAAGAGAAGTGGATAGTGTTGTAGGAAAGATGCGGAAAGAATTCGAATAAATTGTATATCCAAGTGAGTGTATGGATGTACGGCTCGCAATAAATAGGAATATCAGATTGAATGAATGATTCAAGTGGCTCGTCGCCTACGAAAAACGTGTCCGAGCTGATTTTCGTGAACCAAATACATTCACTTCTTCCAAATGGACGTCCTCCCTCGCTATTTTTCCTGGCCTACTGAAATAAAAGAGAAGCAGATACTTATGTGCTGAACTCTAAAAGTTACGTTATGCGGAATTGAGAATTGGAGAACGAGAACGCTGAAATACTTCAAACGGGAAGAAAAAGAGGGACGAAAGTAAGTAAGCAGCAAAGGAATGGATGATTGTTTCCTTAAGATACATGATGACCTTCAATAGAAGATGAAGTGTATTTTTTCACCCCTATTAGCCATTCTCAACAAGATAGGACAATTGATAAAAGAGGCTGGAAATAGAACTTGGAATATTGAGGCGTGGGTAAACATCGCCTATACCGAAAACAGACTAGTGTCCTAATAATTTGACGATGACAATAGTGAGATAACCATACAATGCAGAGAGAGGGAGATATATAGAGAATCTGCAGCAATACGAAAGTGACTTCCTCCACCACGTATTGTCCACAAGATGATTCAACTAAAGGTATGATCTGTTTCCTTGCGTATACATGAAATACCCTCAATGATATATATTCAATTACTTTCCCTCTGTTGTGCCTGGCGCATGTATAAAATACTTTTATGGATTTATTTGCTGTTGCGCGCATCACTTTCCATTGTGCTAACTATCACCACATAGACGATGCTTAATTGCATCGACAATTCTGGCGCCGCCGTGGTAGAATGCGCCAAGGTCTTGAAAATGAAGAGACATGCAAAAATTGGTTTGGACCCCTCTCTACATCACCCCTCCTACCATGTTCCCCTCCCTCCGCAACGCCCCCCACAACCTTGTCTCGTCGATTCCAATTCTAATAATGCAAATTAGGAGATCGCATTATCGTCGTCGTACAAAAGCAACGCAATTTCTCAGAGTCCGGTCCCGGTGCAAGTGTTTCCACATCCGCAGCGAACAAGGTCAGAAGAGGAGATATTAGACACGCAGTTGTGGTCAGGACGGTCAAAAAGCTACAGAGACCAGATGGAAGTGTCGTCAAATTCGATGACAATGCTTGTGTTTTGATTAACAAAGCTGGAGAACCCATTGGAACAAGATTAAGCGGTTAGTAGTCTCGACTATCCTCAGTATGTTTTCTTTGTTAACATTTTACAGGTGTGGTTGGCACAGAATTAAGAAAGATGAAGTGGTCAAAAATCCTATCACTAGCACCTATGCATCTTTAGATATCACTGTATAAAAAATATTGATGTAGCATAGCATATCCGGCGTTTTAAAGGAATTTTGGACAATGAAAAATTATATTCTCCCCCCATATTGACATGCCGTAGAAATTTGATGATGCATTTTATGTATCTCCAATCCATGTGATAGACTCCATATGCCTGTTTCCCCAAAAATCAACGCCTTCTCTAAAACTCGAAACCCGGGGTATCATTGGAAAATATGACCGCACCCGCAGCAGACGTAGAAGAGTTTCTGTGATTGCTTGTTAGCAAAGCCTGAGAACATTTCCAAATTCGATAGCTTACCATTCCCGTTTCTGCAGATCTCTGTTGAGACTGGAAAAATACAGCATCTTCGTTCCTGCAAGCAGGGCAAGTCTTGTTGGATCGTGGAAGCTAGAACCAAAGAAAATTGATATGTCAGCGGAGGGTTTCAAAGAGACCACAACAGCCACCAGAACTTCCGCAAAGGCCCGTCCTTCAAATCTTCTCCCCTCAAAGCTTCTCCACACCCAGCCTGTTTTGCATCCTTCCCTCACAAATGACCAGATGGCCGCATAAAAGACATAAAGGTAAACCCACAGTAGGATCAGATCCAACATCCTGAGTGACACCTGCAGTCTCACCGACAGCATTGTTTAGAACATTTCTGAAGACACAAGAGGAGACAGCCTCCTCGGAATATTGACAAGTACGGCATGCGAATTGTAGGCGGTGGGTATCGGGGTCCTCTTTTGGATACAACATATTCGAACTAGATAATGGTTAGCAGATGCGAGGAAACCTTTGAGGGGGCGATAGGAACTTACCATTCGCTACAGAATCTGAAAGTGATTTGTTCCTCATTCTTCTTGGGCTCTTCGCCAGAAATGGATGATGGAGATGCCATGATGGTATTTCTTTGAAAGGTGTGTTCTAGGATTGATTTTGTCGCAATAGATAAATCGTAACAATCCTCGTGGATAAATATCGTTATTCAGCACCGAGAGCTAGTTGAAGTCGATGTTTTAATCGTAGAAGAAGAAAGAATATTAGTATCCTTCTCTGGTGTTGTATAATAATGAGATTCTCTCGTTGTATCGCGTTGCTGAGAAATGTCGATGAATGATAGATTATGGATTGAGTGGATTTCGATGTGGATACTTTTAGCCGGACTAGAACTCTTTTGTAATCCTTGTAGATGAAGGTCTTTATTAGCTTAATAAGCTGGCACAATTGACACGATTGGCTTGGTTGGTCGCGAGGTTGCTTGGTGGTTACTAAAGAGAGGAAACCCCGCCTGCCACTAAACTTAATTGGGTTCACCCTGTGACCAAGATACAGTACCTTCCAGTTAAATGCATCATCTCCTTTCACGCCTCTTCCTTTGGAAAAATACAATCAAAAATAAATAACAAGAGTAAAGTCACAAAAATCTATATCAAAAGACTCATCATTCATATCCATCACAAATTCGAGTCATTTGTAGCACATTCAATCATAAAAAATCAGTTACACAATGGTAACGTCTTCCCTTTGCGCTCTGAATATTTACCATACCCTGAATAGCTGAACTCTTTGAATTCGTAACGTAAATATCGCTCAAGCTTTACTAACTCTTCACATAGACAGACGCAGGTCTACCAGCAGGATGGGAAGTTCGCACTTCAAAATCTAAGAACATTCCCTACTATTTCAACGAAGCGCAGACGATATCAAGCTGGGAGCCTCCAGCAAACACTGACACCGAGAAGCTGAAGGCATACATGGCCGAGCATTACAGCGCCTCGGAGATCGGAGACAATGCCAATGGCCAGGAAGATCAATCAGGAAAGATCAGAGCCAGTCATTTACTGGTGAAGCACAAGGGCAGCAGAAGGCCGAGCAGTTGGCGCGAGGTTCGTTTTCTCCATGACCAAAACTAGAATCAACAATCAGCGATTGAGCAACCTCAATGTCTCAATGTGCGCAAGGAAATATGACTAATACAATGATAGGCCGAAATTACACGCACAAAGGAAGAGGCGATGAGCATCATTCTGCAGCATGAAGCTCATATCCGTTCTGGAACAACATCATTGGGTGACCTTGCCGTTAGCGAATCTGATTGCAGCTCTGCCCGTAAGATGGGGGATCTTGGTTTCTTTGGACGGGGAGATATGCAGAAAGAGTTTGAGGAAGCAGCTTTCGCCTTAAAGCCAGGTGAAGTTAGTCATGTGGTTGAAACTGCTTCTGGCTTGCATTTGATTGAAAGGTTGGTTGTAAATTGACATCTCCCACGTTCTTTGCCCACTAATCTTTGTTAGACTTGCGTAATATGACTTCGAAATTACTGAGAGAGACGGAAAGAACGTTAAAACTCTAAATGATTCACAGGAGTTGTTGCTTAGCTAGGCAAACTGAGACCAATCAGAAATACCACTTGCGCTAGCATTCCCCGTTTTCCAATCTTGGATCAACAATGAAAATACCGAGTATTATACGGCGCCCTCAACACTTCAGTTCAGATTCAATGACCAGTGGAACCAAACGCTTTCTGACAATTCAATATTTTAATTCAGACAATCACTTGATTAGGTGTAAAAAAATGTCATTTCGATGTGTTACTTGTTTCGATCAGCGCTTGTAATTCTTCGTCACTTGCCTCTTTATGGTATAAATAGGTAGCTATATAGATATGGAACCACATACATGTAAAAGATTCGTAGCTATAGAAAAGGGGGTGATGTGCTTGATTGCGTCATTCTCATAACCGATGATGTATATTTTATTTGGACGATGATAATGATGACACATTTGTAACCTTCGACTGTCGTCACAAATTAATCCTCGAATATGCCCGTTGCTACCCAGTACATCTTTCCCATGGCTCTCTCCATTCTAAGCCTACACCTTTGAAAACAGCCATTTCCTTCTTTCTCAATACTTCAATCATATCTTGTTCCATTCTCCCTTTCATATCACCATTCTCCTTTCCACCCCTCTTACTATCTCCATGCGCCAATCCCTCTACCTCCACACCCCTTTCCAAATCAACCCATTCCCCCGTTCCCCGCTCCCGAATCCCACTACTATCAAACCTCCAATTCTTCTTCTTCTTACAATACTTCCTCAAATCCCTTTGAAACGTCGTTCCACCAGACCACCCAATAATAGCCGTCCCCGCTGTCTTCCACGGCGTAATGATAATATCCACTCTGCGATGCGGGTTTGGATTTTTGAGTTTCTTGCTCTCTCCCCCCTCTTTTCCTTTCTCTTCCTCAACCTGAAAATTGATATCCTGCCAAACCACCAACGCCTTATCCAAACTATCAAACCCCGTTTTTCGCGCTTGATCTTTCTTCCAACCCAAATCTACAGGCCATTGCCCTCTCTCGCTATTCTTCATCGACTCAAGCAGAATATTCGTAATCCATCCCTGTTCTTCCAATCTCCACGTTAACGCCGGGAGGAATCCTAGCGTGCGACTCTCATCCGGATGCGTAAGCATAATATCCACATCTCCGCTTTCTGCTTTCCCTCTCCGATACCCCCCTACAATAACCATCTGATAGCCGGGATCTATCTCACGCGCTTCGGAAAGAATTATGGAGCCGATGGCTTCGACTTCGGAGCGGGGGATTGTGGAGTTAAATTCCTCGTAATATTTGAGTCCAACTTTTTGGACTGGTTTGAGATCGTTCCAGCCTTCGACTACGATATCGTCGAGGTCTTTCCAGTTTCTCTGATCGTGAAATTCGCGCGCGGTGATGTCGGCTACGCCCCAGATGTTGTAAAAGGTCTTTAGAACTTGCATGCGGGGATTCTGTTCGAAGTCGAGAACTTCGTCTGTGGTTCCTGTGTTGAGGAATTGATGGAGGAGATTTGCGATCTTTTGGTCACACCCCGGAAGACGGATAATTTCCTTGGGTGAGCGGAGGGGGTATGGGTAAGCTGCTATGGAGGCGATAGAAGTGCTATAGGCGCGAACACCGATGGGGTCGCCGTCTAGGAGACGTTTTAGCTTAATGGTTTTGAGTTGGTTGATGAAGGGATCGTTGGGAGAGATCAAGGGGGTAGGTCTTTCGCAAGAGTAAATTGTTTTGAGATACTCTGGTAACGGGGGGAAATGTGATGGGTCGTCATGTTCGGAAGTGGATTCTGTGAGGAGGGTGGGTCTGGTAAGTGGTTTGATTGATTGTGGCTGTCGATAATGGGGACTGTATTTGTGATTAGGAGAGCCCCCTGAATCGGCTGCTGCGCGAGTAAGGAGATCTGAGGGGAGAGATTTCGGTGGCTCCGTTACTCGTCGTCCTTCGTATATGAGGTATTTGTCTATGGGAAGCAACACTCCTTCTTTGATTGAATCGAAATACCAATCAATCTTCAAAACCTTGAAAGTATTCTGCACATTGAAGTTGTCTGGAACATTGCCAATATTTCGACCATAACCACTTCCAACAGGAGCAGGAGAACTTTTCCCATCAGCTGACTTCAACCTTTTCCTAGCCATCTCCCCTTTCTCCTCTTCCTCTTCCTCGGATTCAGTTTCATCTTCATCAGAACTAAGCTCGATAACCTCATTCCCGTTATCATTCAGAATACTCCTTCGCTCCTTCTTTCCACCCCCAGCTTTCCTCTTCCTCCCCACCTCCTCCTTCACCCCAGCATCCACTTCCCCTAACTTTGCTATCGCTCCTCCAACATTCGTGACGTCAACCGTCATGAATTTCAATTTCCTCAATTCAAATTCCACTCTCGCCTTCGTAGGAATCCTTGTGAGTCCCACTTCGGCTTCTCGAATTGTATATCGCAAAGCACCGTATTCATCCAATCCATCTTCTAGTTCTCTGATTTCTTTATCGCCAAGAAGAAACTTGAATAGATAGCTTGGGGGAAATCGGATTGTTGAGGACATCTTTTTGAATTGTGGTTAATCAAAAGCTTTGAGTGTGTTTTGTAAATTCGAGGAGTCTTGACAATTTATAGTTTGATGGTGGCTCTCAAGTACGACCATCAAGTGAATGGCCAGAACAACTATTCATTGAGTTGTCTTTTAGGATGAAAATGAATACAGTGCATGAGAGAAAGTGAATTGATTCAACTAGATTTTATTGTACGGTGCAATGACGTTACAAAGGATGCGAACTGCTAGCTTTCATAATAGTGAATCATGTAATGTGACCAGAACAGCTAGAGCTTAGCTAGGTAGGTAGGTAAGCCCTTCATAATAAAGTAGCCAAGACATCTCAAATTTATTAGAATAATATTAAAACATTATAAAAGGAAGTTTTGTCATCCCAATTAACGTGATGAGCTATTCACATAAACAAAAAACTTGTGAAGATAAGGTTCATGAGGGGTATTAGATGAATCCTAGAATGTGAAATGCGGGAAAAGCTTCATTCGCTTATAATCTGTTGGCTACCCACCTCCACCAAGCATCAACTGATCCACCATCAGATCCAATTATATTACCACCCGCTACTTCAACAGAGATGTTGAACTCCTCCATTTGTGAAAACTTGAAGTCGGTAGAACCCATTTCTCCAAGCCATTCATCTTTATCTTCGTCCTCCTCTGTAGACATCCCCGAATCAAGTAAACCTCTCGATCGCGAGACTCGAACTTTGGTAATTTCTCTTTCCAGGCTACTTTTGACTAATGCGGCTGGAAGAGCAGTGAATAGATCCATCTTGTTGGCAGCAATGAGTATTGGTAGTTCTTGAGGTGTTTTTGTGGTAGTTTTTCCATCCATGAGCTTTTGCATGAGGAGCAGTAAATCGTGTAGATAATCGGCAGCCTCTCTTAAACCCTCATCTCCAGCTCCCAATGTAGTAGCATCGACTTGAAATATTACACCTCGAAGATTTTGAGCAGTTGAGAGCTGTTCGAATGCATGGTGTCGCAGTTTTCCATGCCCAGGAGTATCGATTAGGAGGAATTTCTTGTGAACTTGATTGGTAGGATCATTGACGGAACGATATTTATTTGAGGCAGCTACTGTATCGACCGGTAGAGAACATTCGGCAGATGAAATTGTTTGAGAAGTATGAGTAGTTGCAGGTTTGTTCTCTCGTTCAAACTGTAATCGGTTATTAGTATTTGTGATGGCTACTCACCTCATGCGACCAATGCGTCTTCGATTGAATTACTTACAAGAGTAAGAAGTGCTGTTTTCCCTGCGCCGCTTGGTCCAATCAGCACAATAGAGGGTAAAGATGTGAAACCAGTTGCGCGAAATACTACAGAGTGGAGGAATATCGGTATCGAGAGGACTAGGATAATTGTGATGATCAAGCCCAAAGGCGAGGGGTTCATAAGAGTATGAATCCAATCCTGTGAAGAAGACATGACCAATTGGAGAGGAATTTTGTTATTCAGAAACTTGAGGATCGACGACTTTTATCAAGTACCGCAGACTTGAGGTTGAGGTACATATAAAAGAAAGGCTCCACGTTTACAATGGGGTCATATTGCAAGTGGTCTTTTTCCTTATGGTGGTGTTGTTCTTTCACGAGGCTATGGAAATTATTTTATGGTGACGGATACGTCGTATGTACATGTAAATTAGGAATTTAGGGGGTTCCACATGCTGAGCTGTGCTAAGAAAATTGACTTTACCCCTGTCACCGCTTCCATAACAAGGCAAGCCAGATACCAAAATAAAGTACCAACGGATACTCAGCCTTGTATGCACTCTAGTTGGGAAAGGAAAGGAAAGGAAAGGTTACCATTCCATGTAAGCAGGAATATAATTTCAATCCAAGGCCACGGAGAATACAACTAGTCAGCTCTTTCAATGATAAAACTCCGCCCTCGCTGTGTTTCTCCTTGATCATTGACTTCTTTGCTTTACTATATTCTTATGTATATGTTGCCATAACGTTCACGATTGACATCCTACGTATCGTAATCGACTTCATTCCCTCGACACCTCGAACACTCTCAATCCGGTTTCACTGGTCCCGATATGGCTCTCGGAGACTCGAAACCCTCCTCTGGAACGGAATCTTCGAAGAAAAATGCTCCAATAATGCCGAGTGGAAAGTCAAATGTCGTGGCGCCGACTCTCAGTGATGATAATCATGTAGAGCTTGGGGATATGACACCTCCAGAACAGCCTGCAGCGGATATAATGCAGCTTGCTCGGATAGGAGACATTCAAGCGGTAGAAAAGTTATTCGATGATGGCACATTTGATGCTACCTATAGTGACGGCGAGGGCATAACACCTTTACATGTTCGCCTCGATTTCCACTGTGCAAGATTTCCTCGCTAATATGTTCATGCAGTGGGCGGCTATCAACAATCAGTATGCCATGTGCCAGTTTCTCTTGAAAGCGGGCGCAGACGTGAATAAGAAAGGAGGAGAGTCTGTAGCTACACCAGCAATGTGGGCTGCTCAAAGATGCCATTATTATATCGTTCACCTATTACTTGAAAATGGCGCTGATCCTCTGATCACGGATGTCCAAGGATACAACATTCTCCACCTGGCTACATTTGAGGGGAATATATTCCTCCTCGTTCTTCTTCTACATCAAAACATTAATGTCGACGTGCTTGACAGCCAGCGACATACTTGTTTAATGTGGGCGGCGTATAAGGGATTACCGAGTTGCGTAGATTTGTTCTTGAGATGGGGTGCTGATATTCATGCCACGGATGAAACTGGATTCACTGCATTACATTGGGCTTTGGTAAAGGGATCTCAGGGATGCATACAAAAGTTGATTGAATACGGAGCGGATAGATTTGCCGAAACCTCGACTGGCAAAACCCCAGCCATCACAGCCCAGGAGATGAAGACGGAAAGAATTTGGCACAAAGCTCTTACAGAGTGTGGCTACGATGAGGATGCCAAGCCGGTTCTTATCAGCTTTCCCATGTCATCATGGCTGTTGAAGGATAAACGCGCATTCATGAACAAGTTCTTCTTTTTATGGCCATTTCTAATTCTTTGGACGATGATCATGATCAGTAGTCAAATGGTAATATTTATTGGTGTGCCTATGGCGTTGTTCTTTGGGTATTCATTGCAATGGTTAGCTCAGCAGGTATTGGAGTACGCGCCGTCAGATATGAAGCATTTACATAAAACGGTATGTCTAAAAGACTTTCTACAATAGTCTCAAGAGCAGCATTGATGATTATGTAATTTTAGCCTTGGCTTGCAGGAATCTTTTCTGCTACCTTATTTTGGGTTGGTGTTAGATGGATGACAACTTTGTTACCAGGTTTGTAACCGAGAATCCGTTTTGTCATGAGAGTCTATACTGACAATGTTAGCTACCTATGACACTTACCCGCTCTCTAATCTCTTGTTTCTCGCCTTTTACAGTCTCACTGGATATTTCTACTTTTGTTCAATGGTCTACGAGCCAGGTCATGTTCCAAAGCTGGGTGGTTTAACCCAGCAAAAGGCTGTAATTGATGAATTATTGAGTGTGTGGAAGTTTGACGAGCAAAATTTCTGTGTTCATTGCATGGTTCGCCAACCTCTGAGAAGCAAGCATTGCAGAAGATGCAACCGATGCGTAGCAAAGCATGACCAGTAAGCTCATTTTATACACCTTTCTCTTGAAAAAGATTGCTAACATGGCGACCTAGTCATTGTCCTTGGATCAACAACTGTGTTGGTGTCAATAATCATAGACATTTCTTCCTCTATCTCGTATGCTTGGAACTCGGAATTATCTTCTTAGTTAGAGTTGCGATCGGATGTGAGTGTCAATTTGATATTTTTCATGGAATCAATGCTAATCGAGATTAAGACTTTGAAGGCTTCGTTGGAAAGGGCGAGCAGGAGTGCAACTTTCTTTCACCTACACTATGCGGGATTGTCAATTCGGATTCTTATACTTTAGTGTTGGTATTATGGGCAATCTTGCAACTGACATGGGTTACTATGCTACTGTTCGTCCAATTGATTCAGATCTCAAGAGCCATGACCACTTGGGAAAACATGCGCGGTACACACGCCGGAGGAAAAACTTCCCAGGCCATTACCAATGCTCTCACCACTGGCGCTACATCAAGATCAGGCGGTCAAGTCGGAAATGCTGGACTTGGTCCTGATCCCGCTTTACCACCAACCCACGCACCAGACGGCCACGGCCATCATCACGCTCATAAAGCCGGCTGTTTCGCACAGTGGAAGAAAATCCTCGGTGTGGACACATTTGTTGAAACTGCTTTCCATGGCTACGAAGGAAGCAAAAACCGACGCCGGGCACCTCAAAATCCCTTCTCCCGGGGTTGCATTGGAAACTGTAAAGATTTCTGGTGTGATCCAGCGCCACTTTTTGGGAAGAGAGAAAATGGTGCGGCGATGTTGGGTGGTCAGGTAGTCAATTATACAAAAATGTATGAGACGCCTTCGAGAATGGAGATGAGGAGGGGCGGAGATGATGGTGGAGCTTATGAGAGTGTGGCAGCCGATGAGGCGGTTTAAATGAGATGATATGATTTTGGGGATTAGATGAAGGACATTACTGTGTCTGTGGAGGGAGAACAGTTTATGATTCATGAATATATTTTTATTGGTTGCGGAGTTGTTCATTGAGAATTCTCATGTGATGAGTGAAATACACCGTTGTGTAGACGTCAGAAAGGACTATTGGTGCTGAGATAAGTAATCCGTTAATCGTGTTCGCAACAGATTCACATACCTCCTTACTAGAAGTCTTGACAAAAAAAGTAAAACAAGCAGCACTTTCTGCCCCAGTATTCTTCTATCAGAAGTGGCATTATTAAGCATATTCATGTTAAGTGATATGATTATCTTGATAAGCATTTCTAATTCGTAACTTCTATCCAGCAAAGCCCCTTAATTAGCGAAAATCCACTCCATCAGCCGAATATCCAGGGTCATGATTCATGAAATTTTTGATTAAATTCGATATACAAGTACCGTGCGAAGTATTCTTTCACACCATTCGTACGATTACCAAACCAGCGAGGATTAATAATTTAGGTTCATTATGGACTGAGCTTGCGAAAAACTTCAAAATCGTTTAATTCAGTAAATGCCGTGAAATTAATTCTGTTAAATACTGCCGACTCCAGGGCTATCTTAAAGCGTTTGATCCATGCCATGCAAAAGCGCGCTAATTGACCCTAGAATTATCTATGCACCCTTGCTAGCTTTTGTACGTATTCGATAGGAGAATGCGGTTTTTGGTCGTTTGGGATAGGGATACGAAATACGCATTGATTAGTCATCTGGTGATATTTTGATCGTCAATTCATGAGCTGTGGGGAATAGGGAATAGGATAGATATATGGAATTTGAATTTGTGGATCTGTAGTTTTGGTAGGAGAGGGAGAAGCCTGGGTGTGGTGATGTAGGGGAGGATTGTTTAGGGGGTTTATATTTGTAGAGAGGGTTGTGGATTGGTTGGGTGGATTGTTTAATGTTGTATGTTGTGTGAAGACTGAAATGCATGAATATATTCTATTCTTCTGTGTATAGCTTTGGAATGCACAGGGGTGGAGATGTTGTTGACTTCCAACTTGGTTCTCTGTGATGGAATCAACACATTGGAAGCGTACTGCTATCTTCCTTATCAATCTTTCAACCATACTCCTTTTTTGTTATTAATAAATCCTCCTAAGCTACGCTCTTCTCTCCTATCTCATTACTCCCCTCCAATGATCTCAATCTTCCTAAATTTGTCATTAATTATAATTGCTCTTTATTATTATCATGCTTCTATTCCTCTAAACTAGCCATCTGTGTTTAAGATTCTCACATTGCGTTTGTTCTTTCTGGACAATAGTCAGCCAGGCCATTATCTTCAACTGCGACCAAATTTCCCCCAAGACAGCATCTGACGGGAGAGCCGTTCCTCCCCTGATAGATTTATCTAGCTTCGTCTTCACTAATCTCCCAGGTTTTGCCATCTTCTATGTAGAACTATACTACTCGGTAGCTATTACTCGTCAGGAAATCATGGCCTCGTCATCGTAAGCCCTGTGTGTGAAACCAGTATAATTCGAATCCACAGTCGTGGAGAGTGAAGAAGATGCGAATATTTTGTCATTACTTCTTGTTGGCCCAGGATGAAGAATGCAATTCCAATGCCGTTTGAAAAGTTCCTAGTCATAGGCTTTTAAGAGCCAGCCCAGACGTTTTATCAAAAATCTGCAACTGTGCAAATGAGACTGGCATCGATGAACTCGATATATTCACTGAGAATGATTGTCATGGGATTAAGGGCAGAGGGCAGAACTCTAACTTCTGGGACGGTCAGTCTTTTTGATAGAAATGGCCTCAGGATTTAATGATGGATCCTCCAAGAAAGAACGAGTGCCAATTGGTTGCAGAGGTTGAAGAAAAGTACATGTATCCACAATCATGTAATTGTTGTAGGTGTCTGGTGAGCTATACTATTCCAAGAATTCTTAGGTCCCATCGCATAACACGAGGCTGTTGTCAAAACTGCGAAGATGTAGAATAGTGTCTTCCCATAGTCTCAATTCGAATATCAAATGGACTTAAAGCCAAGGATTCGAGATGTGCATGACAGGATCATTGAAGTTGCAGTATCAAAGGGAAGTGTGATTTTACGGGTGTAATGCGCGACACGACAGATTGATTCAAAACACATATATGATTGATTCAATGAGAATTCTGTGTCTTTAGGCCCAGCTATACATTGAAATCTTGATTTCTAGGTCCAAAATGAAGAACCATTCATTGCAGTTCTCAAACTTTGCGTTGCTGTAAATCTTGACCCACAGGCGAAACTGAAGCCGGAACTTGAGTACGGGATGTTTTACACTGGAATGTGTGAATCACATAATGCCAATAATATCACACAAAAGTGGATAAGTACGCACTTCCTGAATTTCCTTTTGAGTTCGTTGTTCCTTGCTATGATTTAATGGAATGGGCACTCATCGACGACATTGAGTGAGACAACTAAACATTAGTAAGAGAAGCCCGATGCTTCTTGGCGATACTGAAGACGGAATTCGACTTTTTCTGTGATACGCTGTTGCGATTAGCTGTTGATCAGCTGGATGTCGTCTTGGAAGAGGTTATTAGCGAGGAAGTTCCTACGGAGATGGGTTCCTCCAACGGAATTAAAGCTGGCAAATATACTGGTATACTATCAGATGACAAATTTTGGTTGTCATACCAAGGAAGGATCACCCAACAGTGGAAGGGAAAAAACATTGACCGAGAGCATATAATCGCAGAACTATCGCCACCCAGTATACCCAAAGAACACTACACAAATATGGCCCAGTGTAGAGGGTTGAGAATAACCATCCCGATCATGCTCCTCTAACTTCTCTTCAAATTCCTCTGGACTCTCGATCATTTCATAACCGTCAAATAGTCGCGACGAAACGCAAGCTGCCGCTGCCCAGATTGCCTTTCAGGCCCTACCTAAGCATTTTAAGAATGTAAACACTCGCTGCTCTGAAGAAGAGCAAGTGGCAGCACCCATGAAGTGTTATCGGAAGGACCGTAAGATGCAGAATTTTGACCTTCGGTATTAAAAGATGTAGAAGCAGAGTGAAAACACACAAGAAAACATAACCGTATGCTCCTTTAGAGCCGAAAAGGATAAGCTCCTAAAGTTTCCTGCACGAATCTCTTTGTGGGCTTCGAGTTTGGATTTACCTATTTTCATTGTGATCCTCAATTTCATTTCGAGATCCCAGCCGATTTGAATCTCTCAACTCGTTTGAATGCTTCATGCCACTTCAATATCTCAGTGCAATTGGATCTATCTGCTGAATCTAATGTTTCAACTCGGTAGAATCATCAAATGATTGTAGTCTTTGAGTTGACTAGAATCTTCCAACCCATCGGAAAGACTCGGCCCTTTGGGCATTCAGTTCATTTGATAGAGCATTTTGATTGCACTGCTTTGCCTGAACATTCTGAATATACTGCTATACCAAACATACTGTGGTGAAATAAGCCGCGCTTTAGAATAAAAATAACAAAACGCTCAATTTAACTAGGTTTAACACCAATAGCCACTGATGGTTAAGCCTAAGCTGGGACATTAAAAAGTGTTTCTGAGGATTTGAGGCTTGTGACAGTTCAGGTATCCGATGGTACCATTAAAATGATGGTAACTTGTACTTGACGACGCTTTCATGATATGGCAGAGCCTGCGAGGTCACTTGATGGTCAAACCCGACTTGGAATATCGAAAGGCTCCTGGGTATTATCTGTACTCTCCAGAGAATTGTGTGTCGAATATGGCTCTGTGTCGCGTGCAGTACTACGTAGATTAACAAAGCGGTGAAATTCTGCCACACTAACAGGCGATCGATGTCGGTTATTTTTTAAGTCCACCTCCCTCCTTGCACCCCACTACCCCAAGCTGTTGACACCATCTCCATACTGCATGGCTACAGTATTACCCTACATTCATCAATTCTAACACCAAACAATGGCCAGCCATACCGCCACCCTCAGCGCTCTTCTTCGCGATTCCTCAATTACTGACCATAATGAAATACTCAAAGCTGCCAATGACGTATTAAAGAGTTCTAAACTCGACCCCAATGCCTTACATACCCGCGGCGTCGCCCTCCTTAAACTCGACCGATACGACGATGCACTAAAAGCGCTCGATGATGGTGGAGATAGACTGGCGTCTCAATGTATTTTGGAGCGCGCTTATGCTCTGTATAAGACAGGCAAATTGGCAGATGCAGCGAAAGTTTGTGAAGGAGGTAATAGTAGGGGTTTGAAACATGTTGCTGCGCAAGTCGCATATCGCGCCGAGAGATTTGCGGATGCTGAGGAGCTTTACAAACAACTCGCAGAAAGTGTGGGAGCTGGAGATGAAGTAATGGATCTGAGGATCAATGGACTGGCTGTCGATGTGCAATTAGCGTGGCAGGGCGAGAGAAGTGAACTGAAGAGCAAAAACAACGATTTCGAGGCATTCGAGACGGCGTATAATGTTGCATGCGGGTATATCGCAAAGGGAGATTATAACAAGGGAAGTTTCCTGTTGAAGCGGGCAAGGGATCTGTGTGAGGCTCTGGACGAATTAAGTGATGATGAAAAGAGAGCAGAAGTCTTGCCTATCATGGTACAACAGGCATTTGTGCTGACGAAGTTGGGTAAAATTGAAGAGGCCAAGTCATTAATCAAGATGATTAATCTTGCTGAGTATGTATGCCAAACACTTTTACTGAGCTTGAAGCTGACCCCTACAGTGTACCAGAACCTCAAACCAAAATTATTGCACAAAATAATGTACTAGCTACATCGACCGAAATTGATAACCCATACCTTTTGAAACGAGTTTTCGACTCAGTACCCAACTTATCGCATCGAGAGAAGCATTTCGAGCATCAAGCGAACATTCTGGAACGAAATCATTACACAGTTGAGTTACAGGCGTTAAAATATGAGGGCGTAGCGAAATCTACATTAAAAAAGATCTTGTCCTCTTCATCACCATCTATCTCACCATCAATCAACGGCCTCTCGGTTCTCAACGCTGCAGCCCATGCCGAAGACAAAACCGGAAAAGCCGCTTTGAAACAAACTCTGTCACTTTTTGAGAAGCGACCAAATGACGTTGGATTGATCCTTACCATTGTTCAACTTTACGTATCGACGGACAATCCTGCCCCTGCAATTGCCCTCCTGGTAGCATTTTTCAAGCGCCTAGAAGAGTCTACCACTCCTTCAGATCAAGATGTACGATTTGCACCAGGACTAGTAGCCCTTCTCATCTCCCTCTATCGATCCACCGGCCAAAAGACCCCTATAAGACCCGAGCTCGAAAGAGCCGCTTCATACTGGCGACAGAAATCCAAACCTTCCCCATCCCTCTTCCACGCAGCAGGTATCTACCTCCTCGAATCTTCCAAACCCGAAGATGCCAAAGCAGCAGGCGCAATCTTCTCCTCCCTCCGCTCTCAAGATCCCACAGACCGCGTCGCAATCGCCGGTTGCATTGCTTCATACGCATCTTCCGATTTCGCCCAAATCTCCTCAGACATCGACACGCTCACCCCCATCCCCAAACTCATCTCTGGCATCAATGCCGAAGATCTCGAATCCTCGGGCATCCCAACCTTGACACCCAAAAGCACATCTGCTCCATCCACCGAATCATCCAAGAAACGCGCGCTCGATGACAAGGAAAGAGAAAACGGGAACGAAGACCCGACGAAAAAGCAAAAGACGATGGGAACGCGCAAATCAAAATTACCCAAAGATTTCGAGGAGGGCAAGACAATGGATCCCGAGAGGTGGTTACCGCTCAAGGATCGCAGCTCCTACAGACCGAAAGGTAAAAAGGGAAAGAAGAAGGCGTTGGATGCGACGCAGGGAGGCGTCGTGAGAGAAGATGCGCTGGAGGGTGTCGAGGCGTCCGGGAGCAAGGTTGTAACGGGTGGAAGTGGAGGCGCAAAGGGGAAGAAGAAGAAGGGCAAGAGGTAGAGGGATAGAGGGGAAGGGAATGGAATGGAAGCCGCGGGCTTGGAGATTGAAATTGGTAGATGTAGATGTAGATGTAGATGTACTGTGCTGCTGGGAGAATGTGGATGTGGCAGGCAGGCAGGCAGGCAGGCAGGCAGGATTGAATGGATTGAATGGAAGGGAATGCATATACATCTCATTTCATGTAATGTAATATATGTAATGTACGTAATGCACTTACCTGCTCCCTATAATCCAATTCAATCCAATCCAATCCAATCCAATCCAATCTCTACATTTCATTTCATTTCCTGAACAAGTACCCATCTATCTACTGCAAGATATGAGTGAGTGAGTGAGTGAATACATGATATAATAGCCCTACATACACTGCATACCTAGGTAGGTAAATAAGAATCATAGAAAATAAAATCTACAATCTATCAAGATGGGATTATTCATTTTCATTACTACCAATAGGTATCTAGACATATATAAAGCTGCCTAGCTAAGTACATATAGTGTACACATATCCACATATCCACCAATTTTCAAATTCCATTCTCACAATCCCTTTTCCAAGATATCCAAAGCACAATTAATCAATACAACTTGCAATCACAATCACAATCACAACCATAATCAACATTCCAGATAAAAGACCACACATATGAATCTTCATTGATATTTATATCACCTATCGCCTATCTCTTCTTACTTTCCCCCTCTGCTCCGATATTAAGTCAACTCGATCCCATTTCACCTCCATCCTCCTCACTCTACCATTTCCTCTCACCAAGTATTGATCCATCCATACTTTGACATTCCAACTCCTAATTTCTTCATTCTCCCCCATCATCCCCAATCATCTCAATTCTCGCCTCCAATCACGCCCACCCCTTTCTACAAGAAAAAGCGAACACATCCCCATTCCCAAAACGCCAATCCGGCCCATAACCTCAGCAGCCAAAACCATGTGCCATACCGTAAGACGACCCCTTCACATGGAAATATATGGTTCCTAACCCAATACATCTTACAGCCCTTGCTTCCCTTTCCTTCCCAATCACCCTATTCACCATCCCTACCCATGCCAACCGCTAGTATACATACGCACAATAAATGCTTTCAAAAGTATGTGTCCCAAATAACCACTGCAACAAGTGTAAACTTCAGTAAACCGAAAACAAAAAACCAAGCAAAACTAAAAAGGTACTACCGAAAAAATGAACTATCAAATACTTTTAATTCTTGCGAAAAAAATATCCCTTCCCTTTTCGCTTCCCGAAAATATCAATCATCACAGGTATTGTAAAAGAGCCCGCCGCAAGTCAAGAAATGGATATATAAAGGATTGTCGTTAAAATAGTTGCATGCGCGCTATGCTTTAATCTTGCCGAAATCAATGAAGAGACAAGAACAGTAATATGAAAATGTTGTGTGGATGTGTGGAAAGGTTGTCTTGGTATTTTACCATATTTATAGAACATGGTGTATCAAGCACCGACTGTTTGAAGAGTAGGACTTGGTAGCCGCTCGTTCGAATCGATGTGTTCAATGTCGTGCTGTAGATTCGGTTCAACTAGCGAATGCTCATCAAACTCGGCTACACGAGGTGAGGGATCTGGTGTGTAGAATTTTGTTCTGTCATTGCTACTTGAATCTTCGTCTTCGTTTTCGTCTTCGACTGGGGGCAAAGGGCTTCGTCGGCCGTCAGACATACTTACTGCCGCTTCGTCGTCGTCATCTACAGTGACAGCAAGGTTTGGAGGTCTGTCTGAGTGCTGGGAGGAATATTTCCTATGCAATTCCCGGAAACTCCTGGCAGTCGCTGTACTTGTGCTTGCAGCTGAATTGTGGCGCTGATGAAACTCAATTGGTTCAGCAAGTATGGAGTGGAAGTCGTCATCGATAGTAGCAGGCGATGTTGCTTCAGAGTCTTCCTTGTGAGGCTGTTTACGAAGACGTATGCGTTCTTCTGGTGACATGCTTTGGAGTTCCGTCCCGAATGTGATGACTGAAGCCTTTTTGCCATGTACAACGAAGCTTCCAGAACCACGAGAGAGTATGTCATCTGTAGTACCTTCATCTGACATAC